TTCCCTTGTGACCCACAACATTGCATTGACAAAATGAGTAACTGGGTTTAGAGTGTGTAGATTGTGGTTGTAGACACAGTGGGCATAACACGTGCTGGATGGCACCTGATGTGGTGATATGCACATGGTGGGACTCACAATCACAGCTGCAGTGCATCTGATGATGGCAGCTGGCAGCCAGTCCTCAGTGGCTTTTTCCCAGGCTTTTCCTGCACATGGGATCACTCTTAATGTTCAGTTCCTGCTACTCCCTTTGTTTTTCAAGAGTGCATGTTAGAGCATAATGTTTTATTTTAATCATTTGAAAATGTGGCATTTTAATTATTAGTAAGTACATCTAATAACTAATTTCAGCATTTAAAAAATTAAAGTGGGCCAGGCATGGTGGCTCATGCCTGTAATCCCAGCACATTGGGAGGCCGAGGAAAGTGGATCACGAGGTCAGGAGATCAGGACCATCCTGGCCAACATGGTGAAACCTGCCTCTACTGAAAAAAAAAGAATAAATTAGCTGGGCATGGTGGCACACACCTGTGGTCCCAGCTACTCGGGAGGCTGAGGCAGAGAATTACTTGAACCTGGGAGGCAGAGATTGCACCACTGCACTACAGCCTGGGCGACAGTGCAAGAGTTTGTCTAATAAAAATTATGTACCCCTAAATATTTGGGATGTTAACAATAAAATATTAAAGCAATTAAAATGGAAAAAAGTCAAACTTTATTATGACCCCAAAAACATAAAAACCCAAACCTTACTATGACTTCAAAAGACTTTTGTACAGCATATGTGGGTTTTATTTATTTGTGCTTATCATAATAAAACATTTTAAATATTTATTAATTCATATAGTAATAAACTGATTACAAGTTAACATATACATACATATACATATACATATACATATACATATACATATACATATACATATACATATACATATACATATACATTTTTTTTTGAGACAAAGTCTCTGTCACCCAGGCTGGAGTGCAGTGGTGTGATCTCAGCTCATTGCAACCTCTGCGTCCCGGGTTCAAGTGATTCTCCTGCCTCAGCCTTCGAATAGCTGGCATTACAGGCACCCACTACCATGCCCAGCTAATTTTTTATTTTCAGTAGAGCCAGTATTTCAGCACGTTGGCTAGGCTGGTCTTGAACTCCTGACCTCAGGTGATCTCTCCCTGCCTCGGTCTCCCAATGTGCTTTACAGGTGTGAGCTACTGTGCCTGGCGTAACATCTGTCTTAACAGAAGATTACTGAATTTTCTTTTTTCTTTCTTTTTTTTTTTTTTTTATTGAGACGGAGTTTCATGTTGTTACCCAGGCTGGAGTGCAATGGCGCGATCTCAGCTCAGTGCAGCCTCTGCCTCCCAGGTTCAAGCGATTCTCCTGCCTCAGCCTCAGGAGTAGCTGGATTACAGGCATGTGCCACCACACCCGGCCCGCAGCTACCCACTTCTAAGTTGAATTTTCATATATGTCTCTACATTCAATCTATTTTGATATTACATACCATGTAGCCTCTAGAAAACTCTAATGTTAACTGGAAAAATAGAATGAAAAGGCAAATAAATCATCTTAGATTTATTATGAAAATAGATTTTAAAAAATTTCTTTTTGAGATGGAGTCTTGCTCTGTAACTCAGGCTAAAGTCCAGTGGCACAATCTTGACTCACTGCAACCCCGCCTCCTGGGTTCAAGAGATTCTCCTGCCTCAGCCTTCTGAGTAACTGAGACTACAGGTGTGCACCACCGTGTCTGGGTAAATTTTGCATGTTTAGTAGAGATGGAATTTTACTACTTTGGCCTGGCTGGTCTTGAACTCCTGACCTCAAGTGATCTGCCTGCCTCGGCCTCCCAAAGTGCTGGGATTATTGGCATGAGCCATGGCTCCCAGCCTACCATTTTGAAGTATGCAGCTCAATACTGCTAAGTATATTCAAATCATTGTGCAGCAGACCTCTAGGACTTTTTCATCTTAGAAAACTGAAATTCTACATCTCCCCATCCTGTGGCCACTTGCAACCACCATTCTACTTTCTGTTTTTATGAGTTTGACTACTCTAGGTACCTCATAAGTGAACGCAGCATTTTATCTCTCTGTGACTGGCTTATTTCATTTACTATAACATTCGAAAGGTTTGCTCAGATGGTAGCATATGTCAGAATTTCTTTTCTTTTTAAGGCAAATATTCCATTGTATGTATAGACCACATTTTTTCTATTCATCCCTCAATGGACATTTGGGTTGCTTTGCCTTTTGGCTACTGTGAATAGTGGTGCTGTGAACGCAGGTGTACAAGTGTCTTTCAGTTCTTTTGGATACATATCCGAAGTGGGATTGCTGGATCATACGGTTATTCTATGTTTAACTTTTTGAGGAACTGCCAAAACTGCCCAACTATTTGCTAGAGCACCATTTTATATTCCCTCAAACAATGTACAAGGGTTCTAATTTCTCCACATACCCATTAACACTTGTTTTTTTCTTTTTTCTTAATTGCATTTTAGGTTTTGGGGTACATGTGAAGAACATGTTAAGATTGTTGCATAGGCACACACAGGGCAGTGTGATGTGCTGCCTTCCTCCCCTTCACCTATATCTGGCATTTCTCCCCATGTTATCCCTCCCCAAATCCCCACCCCCTGCTGTCCCTCCCCTAGTTCCCCCCTACAGACCCCAGTGTGTGATGCTCCCCTCCCTGTGTCCATGTGTTCTCATTGTTCATCACCCACCTATGAGTGAGAACATGCAGTGTTTGATTTTCTGTTCTCGTGTCAGTTTGCTGAGAATGATGGTCTCCAGGTTCATCCAGGTCCCTACAAAGGACACGAACTCATCGCTTTTGATGGCTACATAGTATTCCATGGTGTATGTGTGCCACATTTTCCCAGTCCAGTCTATCATCGATGGACATTTGGGTTGGTTCCAGGTCTTTGCTATTGTAAACAGTGCGGCAATGAACATTCGTGTGCATGTGTCCTTATATTAGAAAGATTTATAATCCTTTGGTTATATACCCAGTAATGGGATTGCTGGGTCAAATGGAATTTCTATGTCTAGGCCCTTGAGGAATCGCCACACTGTCTTGCACAATGGCTGAACTAATTTACACTCCCACCAACAGTGTAAAAGTGTTCCTATTTCTCCACATCCTCTCCAGCATCTGTTGTCCACATCTTCTCTAGCATCTGTTGTCTCCAGATTTTTTAATGATCGCCATTCTAACTAGCGTGAGATGGTATCTCAATGTAGTTTTAATTTGCGTTTCTCTAATGACCAGCAATGATGAGCATTTTTTCATATGTTTGTTGGCCTCATGTATGTCTTCTTTTGTAAAGTGTCTGTTCATATCCTTTGTCCACTTTTGAATGGGCTTGTTTTTTTTTTTTGTTTGTTTTTGTAAATCTGTTTTAGTTCTTTGTAGATTCTGGATATCACCCATTTGTCAGATGGGTAGATTGCAAAAATTTTTTCCCATTCTCTTGGTTGCTGATTCACTCTAATGACTGTTTCTTTTGCTGTGCAGAAGCTGTGGAGTTTGATTAGGTCCCATTTGTCTATTTTGGCTTTTGTTGCCATTGCTTTTGGTGTTTTGGTCAGGAAGTCCTTGCCTACGCCCATGTTCTGAATGGTTTTGCCTAGGTTTTCTTCTAGGGTTTTTATGGTGTTAGGTCTCATGTTTAAGTCTTTAATCCATCTGGAGTTAAAAAATATGGAATGCTTCACGAATTTGCGTGTCACCTTGTGCAGGGGCCATGCTAATCTTCTGGGTATAGTTCCAATTTTAGTATATGTGCTGCCGAAGCGAGCACTCTTATTTTTTTTTTTTTTTTTTTGTGACCGAGTCTTGCTCTGTCACCCAGACTGGAGTGCAGTGGTACAATCTTGGCTCACTGCAACCCCTGCCTAATGGATTCCAGTGACTTTCCTGCCTCAGCCTCCTGATTAGCCAGGACTACAGGTGCTTGTATCCATGCCCAGCTCATGTATCTTTTTTTTTTTTTTTTTTGTATTTTTGGTAGAGACAAGGTTTCACCATATTGATCCATCCACTTCAGTCTCCCAAAGTGTTGGGATTACAGGCGTGAGCCACAGCGCCTGACAAAGCTGATCTTCTGCATTTGAGAAGCCAGATAGTCAAGGCCAGGCTTTCCTGTCCCCGCTTTCACCCTCTCCTATGTAAGCCAGCAAGAGTGAAAACGGCAAGAACTAAAGACGAGTTTTCCTCCTAGGATCTCGCAGCGACTCGCTGCCCAAATACATTTGGACAATTCTGCAGAAGGCCCTCCACTAAGAAAATGAAGCATTCGGCCAGGTGCAGTGGCTCACACCTGCAATCCCAGCACTTTGGGAGGCCAAGGCGGGCGGATACCTGAGGTCAGAAGTTCGAGTCCAGCCCGGCCAACATGGCAAAACCCCGTCTCTACTAAAAATACAAAAATTGGCAGGGCATGGTGGTGCTGGCCTGTCATCTGAGCTACTCTGGAGGCTGAGGCAGGAAAATCGCTTGAACCCGGGAGGCGGACGTTGCAGTGAGCCTGGGCGACGGAGTGAGACCTTGTCTCGAAACAAAAACCCAGAAAAAAAAAAGAAAACCAAGCGTTCTATCCTGGAATGTTCTCCCATGGCGAGAAGGGACGAGAAGCTCTGAAAGGAGGTGCGCTCCCGGGAGAAGAAAATGGGGAGAGCGATTCCAAGTTTAGGAAATCCTGCACGGCGCTGGAGCGTGAAAGGGCAAGGAGCCAGGGGAGGCGGTGCGCAGGGCTGAGAACCTAGGGAAAGTACTGGCGTCCGGGCTCTGCGGGTCCCGGGGCGGGTTGTACCAGGGCTGTGGGGAGCGGGCCGGGGCGCCGGACATCACGCATGCGCGGGGCCGGGAGCCTAGCTGGGCGCGCGGCTGCAGTCCTCTGGGCTGACAGCCCGGGCCTCGCCCGGCGCCGGCTGCGGCCGCCCCCGCCCCAGCGCAGCGGCCGGACTCACGCTAGTCCCCTCCCCGCCGCCCGGAACCCGGCAGCCCGGCCAGACCCGCTGAGACCGCGACGCCGGCGTCAACAGCGGCTGCGACGGCCTTGGGAGCGCGTGAGGCTCCGGGGTCGCGGCGGCGATTGGCCGGCCCCGGCGCCCGCTCCCAGAATGCAGCGCATGGCGCGTCATTGAAGAGAGACCATGATGGCGGCGGCGCTGGGGCCCCCAGAAGTGATCGCTCAGCTGGAGAACGCGGCTAAAGTTCTCATGGTGAGGACGCCGCGCCCCTCAGACCCCGGGATTCGCGGGCCCCCGGCTGGCCCTGCCACGCCAGGCCTTGCTGCCCACTGGGCTGGCGATTGGCAACGGCCTCCAGGGAGTCTGGAAGTGGAGGAGGAGGTGGTGGCGTGGCGCAGGATTCTTCATCCTACTTTCCTCCTGCAGTCGTCCCCTCCTTCCAGAGGTTGTCCCCTTCCCCTGGCTGCTCAGCACCCCAGTCAGGCGTGGGAATATAGTGGTGTAGCAAAGAGAATTTCTTCACCTTACACCCTGCCCCGCAGACTGGGTCGCAGAGCAAGACGCGGGGAAGGAAGTTGGGGTTATCCCCGCAGGGCTTCAGTAGGGCAAATTTGTGGGGCTGTGTGCGCACCCCTGGGGAGTTGGTGTCGGGAGGGAATGGATGGCACAGCCGGGTTTTGTTAGCAGTCCTTGTTTCCTGTGCATTCGGATCCTCTAGCGCTTCCCTGACATGCAGCCACCTCTGGAGTAATTGCAGCCTGCAGCACGTGGAAGGGCCGGCAGGAGGGAGGGAGGGGAATCCTTGAGACCAAGGTCATTGGGGCAAAACTTGGTCCAGTGCTAAGCTCCTTAAGTCGCCCGCGATTTGGAGAACTGAGTCTATGCTACTCTTTGACTTCATGCTTACACTACAGTAAACAGTTTGATGAGGTTGTTTACTCAGGGAATTTGAGAAGGCCGAGTCAAAGGATAAAAGTATTACATGCAGGAAGGAGAAGTAAGGATCAACTACATTCATTACTCAGTAAACTGTGTTTGTATTTGCTGGCTCAGCTTTGTTTTTGTAAATTATGACTTCGGTGTCTGTCTATGTTTGTGGAAGAGAGGTTCATTTGATAGCTGGATTGATTCAGACTTTCTAAGAATTGTATGCATCCCGCTCTGTTACCTTTTTGGACTTTTTTCCTTATGGTTCAGTGTTAGGGTGTTTGAGCATCACATTTAAGAATATTTGAACTAATTCTAGCATAGTTTGTAGTTCTGATATTTTACGTCAGGTATTTTGTTTCCTCTGAAATCGAGGTCTTATAAAAGCAGGATTTATTTGCTTCACTGTAAAGTTGTACGTTTTGTCACAAAACAGACTAGTGAAGGTTTTCACACTTCTGCAAATTAAGTGCAGAAATAACTAGCTAGTATTCCCCTTAATACAAGATTCTTAAAATTCCCTGACCTAGAGCGTTTCCTAAAATTGCTGAAATTTTCCTAGGAGCTAGGGGCTCTGTTTTTATTAGATTCTGGAAGGAGGAGGCCACCCAAAACACGGCTTTAATTCTTACATTGATCAGGTAAAATCAGTGTCCTTCATCATCGGCTTAATACAAACTAGTATTTGTGCTTTCCAGTATTTTCCCCCTTCCCTGGCAAAGCTACTTCAATCACCTACAAGGGGTGGGTGAGAGAATATTAGTAGGTACTGTTTACTGAGTGCTAGATATTGGGCTTGATGCTTTACATACTTTACATATTTTATTAATCCTTGCAACAGCTTTACAAGGTTGAGAAATTGTTTAAGTGGCCTGGGTTACACAATTAGTAAGTAGCTGAATTAGGTCTTGAACTCAGTTCTGTCTGGCTCTAAAGCTGTGTGTCTTTTCACTCTACCCCATCTGTCATATGTTGTATAAATAATTTGTTTAAATGCTTTTTATTTTTCCAGAGGAGTATTGAAAAAAATGTTGTGTTATTAAAAACAAACAATTACAGCTGGGCGAGGTGGCTCACGCCTGTAATCCCAGCAGTTTGGGAGGCCGAGGTGGGCGAATCACTTGAGATCTGGAGTCTAAGACCAGCCTGGCCAACACAGTGAAGCCCCGTCTCTACTAAAAATACAAAAACCAGTTGGGTGTGGTGGCAGGAGCCTGTAATCTCAGCTTCTGTGGAGATGAAGACAGGAGAATCGCTTGAACCTGGGAGGTGGAGGTTGCAGTGAGCAGAGATCACGCCACTGCACTCCAGTCTGGGTAATAGAGTGAGACTCCATCTCAAAAAAAAAAGGAAATGATGTTTTGAAAATTTCCACTTTACTATTCAGAAATTTGTACCAAAGATGTGTAAAAGTAGCAGTTATATTATTTCTTAATATGAAAGCTGTATTCCAAATTATAATTATTAATCGTAGCTACCATTTATTGAGTACATACTATGTTCGAGGTGCTATGCCAAGCACTATATATTTTATTTCCAGTAACTCTCCTACTGGAGGTAATACCAAGGTAGGTATTATTGCTTTCATTTTCTTTTTTTCTATTTAGTACTGGAGGTAGTACTGAGGTAGGTATTATTGCTTTCATTTTCTTTTATTTTTTGAGACAGAGTCTCGCTTTGTCACCCAGGCTGGAGTGCAGTTTCATGATCTTGGCTCACCGAAACCTCCGCCTCCCGGTTGCAAGTGAGTCTCCTGCCTCAGCCTCCCAAGTAGCTGGGACTACAGGTGTGTGCCACCACACCCGGCTAATTTTATATTTTTAGTAGAGAGAGGGTTTCACCATGTTGGTCAGGTTGGTCTCGAACTCCTGACCTTGTGATCTGCCTGCCTCGGCCTTCCAAAAAGTGCTGGGATTACAGGCTTGAGACACCTTGCCCTGCTATTTTCATTTTCATTTTATAGGCTAAGGAACTCAAACATGGTTGCTAAGTAATCTTCACTAGTTTACATAGCAAGGGGTAGAGTAGAGACTCAAACTCTGGTTTGTCTGTTACCAGTCTGTGGTTTATTTATTTATTTGAGATAGTGTTCCGCTCTTGTTGCCCAGGCTGGAGTGCAGTGGTGCAGTCTTGGCTCACTGCAACCTCTGCCTCCCGGGTTCGAGTGATTCTCCTGCCTCAGCCTCCCAAGTAGCTGGGATTACAGGCATGCACCACCATGCCCGGCTAATTTTTTAGATTTAGTAGAGCTGGGGTTTTACCATGTTTTGTCAGACTGGTCTCAAACTCCTGATCTCAGGTGATCCATCCACGTTGATCTCCCAAAGTGTTGAGATTACAGGCATGAGCCACCACGCCTGGCCTGGTCTTTCTTAAGCTATGGGATAGTGGGATCAGAAAGGAGGTAAATTAATTAATCTTGGGCTAATTAAAGCTGTTAATGCTCCTTCAATTATTTAGCATTAAAATGCGTATTTTAAACAATGATTTTAGCATTTATCCATCTGTGGGTCTGAATAAATCTTATTTATGGAAAATTGCTGTATTTTAACTATTAATATGCTTTGAGATTCAAAATGCAATTAGTGATGTATTTTGTAATTATTTTTGCTTAATTTTTCTTTTTCTTTTTCTTTTTTTTTCTTTTTTTTTGAGACAGAGTTTCACTCTTGTTGCCCAGGCTGGAGTGCAATGGCACGATCTCGGCTAACTGCAAACTCTGCCTCCCTGGTTCAAGTGATTCTCCTGCCTCAGTTTCCCGAGTAGCTGGGATTACAAGCGTGCCACCACACCCGGATACTTTTTGTATTTTTAGTAGAGACAGGGTTTCTCCATGTTGGTCAGGCTGGCCTCAAACTTCCAACCTCAGGTTATCCACCTGCCTCAGCCTCCCAAAGTGCTGGGAATACAGGCATGAGCCACTGCGCCCAGCTTGCTTAATTTTTCATTAGGTAGCTCATATAGTTCTTTTATGGAAATCAACACAGAATATTAGTACACAGAACAATCTTTTTTTTAATTTTTAAATTTTTATTCTTTTTTCTTTTTGCCTCACCATGTTCTGAACACAGAACAATCTTAAGAGATGTTTTAGTACAGAGGTCTTAGGAAGTCTAGGATGAGTATCAGAAGGAAACTGTAACAAATTTTTGATGTAAACATACATTTTTATTAATAGGGTCTGCAGCTTTTATCAGCATCTCTGAGAGACTAGAGTCCCTGAAAAATAAACTGAGTTTAAGCATTCTCCCTTCCATTCTACAGATGGGGAAACTCAGGTTCAAAGAGGTAGAAGTGACTTGCCCAAGGTAGGTCACAGAGCAAATTAATGATGTAAGGGATCCAGGCCAAGATCACCAGACTCCCCTTTCAGAACATTTACTTTTACTTTTTTTTTTTTTTTTTTTTTGAGATGGAGTTTCGCTGTTGTTACCCAGGCTGGAGTGCAGGCTGGAGTGCAATGGCATGATCTCGGCTCACTACAACCTCCGCCTTCTGGGTTCAAGCAATTCTCCTGCCTCAGCCTCCCGAGTAGCTGGGACTACAGGCGCGCGCCACCATGCCCAGCTAAATTTTGTATTTTTATAGAGACGGGGTTTCACCTTGTTGACCTGGATGATCTCGATCTCTTGACCTCGTGATGCTGGGATTATAGGCGTGAGCCACTGCGCCCGGCCTACTTTTTTTTTAATTGCTTATGCTCAACCATGTTGCTTCTCTGTCAACGTATACTATAAATGTTACATTTTATTACTTGATGGAAAATGTCTAAATATGTTATATCTATATTCAATCCATTTCGTTTATTGGATAAACTGCCAAGTAAAGTAGTACAATCATCCCTCGGTATCCATGAGACATTAGTTCCAGGAGCTGCCTCCACCCATGAACACTAACTGTGGATTGATACTTACGTTTTTGAGACAAGGTCTCTGTTGACCAAGCTGGAGTGTAGTGACATGATCATAGCTCACTGCAGCCTTGAATGGCTAATTTTTAAAAAATATTTTTTTGTAGAGAGAGGAAATCACTATGTTGCCCAGGCTGGTCTTAAACTCAAGTGATACTCTTGCCTTGGCCTCCTGAAGTGCTGAGATTATAGACATAAGCTACTGTGCCTGGCTGAGTTCCTTATATGAAATGGTATGGTAATTGTATATAACCTGTACACATCTTCCTGTATACTAAATGTAGGAGGGGTTTTGATTTTAGAGATAACATTATTAAAAGTTTAGTGTTCACATAGTATTGATGCCACATTCATTTGTGGTCCAAAGAGTGCTTTATTATCTTGAATATTCTTGGTTTTGTTGCCCTGGCTTCAT